ATATGTCCACAGCAGAAGCTGATAATCAGAAGCAAGGGGTGAGCAGCTTCTCAGAATCAGTTTTTTTGAGTTAAAATAAACTGTTAGAATCAGAAACTGTTTGAAATAAGTTTAACCAAACAGTCCAAAATAACTTTTTCGAAGTTAAAAAGTCATAAGTTAGCTCTGAAAAGCTGAAACAAACACTCCCACTGTCTTTTGGTGGTGGAGGATTTGGAGCCATTATCGAGAAATTGCATTTCAGTTTACATTAGAAAAATAATTTCATTTTTATGAGATTTAAGCTGCTTTTTTTTTTTTTTTTTTTGGTATAACGTAAGTTATTTTCTGTGTTTAGTGCAAGTGTTTTTTTTTTCTGTGTATGTACTAAAAAATATTTTACTTATAATACAATTATTTTAAAATTATTCCAATGCATTTCCCCTTTCCTTCTATCTCATGTTGTCATCCTTTTCAATTATACCCTTAAGAAGTAGAGAAATGGACAATGGAAATTAATTGGAAGCTCATCTTTCACCACAAACACTCAATCTATGGACGATGAGAAAAGTTTAGTCTACTTCTTTAGAATTTTTGCATCTCATCAAAAGGTTAAGAGTAATTCTATCTACTTACATTCGAGTTTTAAAAGTAAAGGGTTGCTTAGGGTGTCCTAAATAAGTGTACTTTTATCTTTTTAAATTAAAAAGTTAAGGAGAAAAATATAGATGTTTGAGTTAACTCTTTGACTTTTTATGAAAAAATATGTATTAAAAAATTGTTTGGGTTAACTTTTTATGAAAAAATGTATATTAAAAAATTGTATAAATAAGTGTGTAGGAGAAGATAGTATAGTAGGCCGTACGGATTGGCAGTGCAATCGGCTGGGTGAGTAGATGGGAAAAGATTTTCGGGCTTTGATTAGACAGTATTGTTCGGCCTTTGGGGGCCTACCACGGGTTCCGTTTTTCTAATCGGAACCGTGCAATGTGTAAAACTTGTCAAGTACTATATGCTTATAAAAAATCACGTTGATTGGATATCGATAGTTATTTGATCCTGTTAATTTTTTTTTGTCAACTATTAACTATAACACCATTCATTTTTTATACAAAACTGATTTGATCATGTAGTTAGCGATATTCGATAGATGTAATTTTTTACAGACATATAGTACTAGACGAGTTCTACATATTCAACAGTTCAGATTATCAAAACGGGACCCATGGTAAGCCCCCACAGGCTCAACTTTACCATCCAACTTACTGAATGTACACATGTAATTTTTTTTTTCCCTTTCACTGCAGTTGCCTTGACATCAATACGTTGATGGGCCAAAAAGTTGATTTGTATTTTAATATCTGTATATTAATTTTTGTATATTTTTTTTTGATGAATAGTGATAACTTTTTAACTTTTTTGATAATTTTTTGACTTTTTGACTTTTTTTAAAATTGTCAAACCAGCTCTAAATGTTTAGACACTCTTTTACTATAATTACACAATACAACTTTTTATTTTATTTTTCTCTATAGATTAACAAAAAAATAAATAAATGACTCTTCTCAAGTAAGAAAGAATGTTTTTGTTGGCCGGCTTGAGTTTATTTTTGGGTGATGCACCAATAAATCCTAAGATGAGAACTTATGAATTGTTTAGTCTTGTGTTTATTTGTGTAGACCAATAAGTCCTATTATAGTGTGATTCACAGAAAATGACACTAATAAGTATGCGGGAGTTGTGGAATAATAAGGGGGTAAATCTGGTAGTTCGCTTACACATTTGGGGCTTCTTTTATATGTTGTTAATTGAATTTCAGATTGCATGTTTGGAAAGATTCTATGGATATCTGTAACGTTCATCAACACTGACGTGGTTTTTGGTGCAATGTAAATGGGAATCGCATGGTTTTCGGTGTCGATTTAGCAAACCTAGATCCCACACATTTGTGAATTAGGATCCCTAACATTGACCAAACCCTAAGAACGTTTGTCAAGCGTAACATCGGTTCACAAACGGCACAAAAATTGGGGCGGATGAGGTCTGCGACGGTGAGGGTTAATACATTTAAAATTGGTTTCAGCTATGAAGAGGTCATCCGATCGTGAAGTTGGTGTTGAGTAAGAATGCAATGTGAAATGAAGGTATGTATTACCGTCCTTCTGTGTACATTGAAATGTAATTTGGGGTTGTGTTCATTGGTGATGTTTAATGTGTAATGTGTGATCGTTTTACATGATTGTTTTGGTGGTGGTTGTGGTGGACTGTGTTTGTGGAAATATTATGTACGTGTTAGTGAAGTGTCTGTCGACCGATGTTTGTGGGTCATTTGTTGGCGTGTGTATTGCCGATGTTTGCAAGCCCTGATGGTGGATGTTTAGGGGCTGACAATGGTTTAGATTAGGGTTTTGGTTGTCTATTTCGTATATTATTGCATGTGGTTGTTGTAATGTCATGTTTGGGTCAATGTTATCATGGAGCTAAGATTTGTTTATTTCAGTTGTATATTTTTACAATGTTTATTTATTTTTTTTAAACAATGCTTTGTAATGTCATGTTTTTACGTTGCTTTGTTTTTTTTTTTTGGGTCATACACATGTTAACGGGAATGATAGATGTGGCTTTTTTGGGCAATACACATGTTCGGGTCAATGTTATCAGGGGGGTTGTATGTTTTTACAATGCTCTGTCACGTAACGCACGCAGTACAACAATTAATAGTGTAATGTGTGTGAATGTTCAGTCATTGTAATGATGCATTATGTATTAGTAATTTATGATATGCGAGCAGTACTCACATAATTTGTTGGTAGTGATATGAAATGTTAATAACATTTGTAGTAGTAAAAATGTAATGTTAACCGTATTAATGTTAATGAATAAAATAATATTAGCAATTGAAACTCATCCATCGTATATCACTCTATAAAAATCAACACACAAAAATAGAAATGTAAAGCGTTATCATCTCAATTATTACATACAAGTAAGCAAAAAAGAATCCACCAAAATTATAACAAGGGTAAATGTGTAAACTCCGCCCGTACCAAATCAAAGGAAAATATTCCTTACCAATTAAATAGGATCAAATGGCTCATAAAAAAAAATAAAGGATTAAATGGATCATCATTCCCTAATTTGGGATTTATTGGTAATTTCTCCTTTATTTTTAAGCTAATCTTGTGTCGTTTTATTTATGAATTCTATTCCTGTATACTTTTGAACATATATCTTGAGCGTTATTATATATATTTATAATAATAACCTCTATAAAGAAAAAAACAGAATAAAAAACAAACAATCACTGTTTTTCTTTCCTTTTTCTTTAATTATATAAAGGGGAAACCTTTGTCTCAAACTGTGAGTGGAGTAATCTTTGCTTTGGTAACATCTTCCATCAAGAGAGTACTTTGTCTCCAACTTTAGCATCGTTTTTAACTTACGATAATAAATCATCTGATTTCCAGCAGCGAATGAAGAATTTGTCATTCTTCATAATTTGTTTAGCTCTCTTATTGTTTATTTATTCATGTGATTACTACACTTTGTCTCTTGCATCTCACAGTTTCTAAATGTGATATTTTAACCTTATACACTTCCAAAAGCTCGATTATAGTAATTAAAAAAGCTTTAAGGTTGTGACAAAGGTCCAGATTTGACCCTTCAAAGAAAAAGGATCCAAAAGGTCTCAACCCCATGCAACCTATTTAATACTCGCTTACCAAGTTCGAATCTTTGTTTCAGCGGTAACCACTGCTAAACGCTCTAGAAAGTCGAACAACATATGATTACTCTTTTCTTCAAAATCTAGTATTACCATTTGGTAATCTTCACTGAAATATGTTTCAATAGAATAATCAGGCTTGGCACCAACATCATCACCCGGCTTAACCACTAAGAAACCCGCAGTGTAAGGAACATGAACGTCATTTATTAGAACCGTCTCTATATCGGCTACAATGAAAGGACGCCTCTCCTTACTCCTAGGTTTGAATGCAGGGATACAATCGGGATAATTAGGCTTTTTCCTATCCATATCTTTCACTTCTTGTGGCTCACAGCCAACTGAGCCAGAATTAATTAATTCCCAGAGTTGGGCATCTACAAATGGAGAGAGAGAGAGAGAGAGATAGAGACAGGTTTACTATAGTTTCATGGTTTCATGCTTGAACCAGTGACCAAATTTTCTCTCTCCATCTCCCTGGTCCCAAATCATCTCCAAATCATGTTGAAGTAGAAATGTTATGATTCATGAATCATTCTGGTAAAAAAAATCTTACGACTTGTCGTGATTATATTACGCATATTCTTATATGATGCATGCAATATACATCTTTAAGGGTACATAATATTTTCATTGGCATTTGTGTGTTAGTAACATTATTATTGATAATCCAACTTAGATTATTCTTCGAGATAATCACCTTTACTATCTTTAAATTAATCTTAAACAGCTGCCTCCCATTTAAAAATAAATAAATAAATTGCAGAGGAAAATAGGTGCACAGAGAAGGGACCAAACGAACAGATTTTCTTCTCTTAGTTATTTATTTATTTTTGTCACACTGTGACCTCCCTATCTCTGTTAAATAAAGAAGCTCCCTACAGCTCTTGGCTCTTGAGCATGTTGGCGGATTAGGAAACAGCTGAAAGAGCTGTTAACTTTTTATTTTATTTTATTTTTAAGTAAAGGACTTGCTTTTCCCTAACTAATTAAGGGTAGAAGAATAAACCGTTTCTCGGGTTTGTCTCAGTGAAAAGAGTAAAAGTCATTCAAACTATGGGTCAATTTTTAGTTAAAAAACAGTAGTCATTCAGGGTCAGTCCCAAAAATAGGTCGGGGAAAAGCAAAAGTGAGATGTGGGTTCCTTCCGAAAATTTTGCCCACTTTTGGCAAGAGAAATCAAATTAGATAGATAAATGAAGAGAAAAAAAAAAAAAGAAAGGGTTGAAATCACCCACATCCAGTAAACTGAAAGGTTTACCGAACTTGGAGCTACAACATAAATACAGAACACATCTCCGAATAGTACATCGTGTACAAGAAGGCTTCCATTTCAGAATATTACTTAGAAGTGCTGTTGTATATAAGAAGTTGATATAGACATAATTACCCTATCCATTGTATCTTAATTACCTGATTAAAACATTAACTAGGGGGCCAATCATACACAAAATAAGGTCTCTTCTCTAATCAAATTCAAAACTCAAGCCATCTCCATAAACCCATATAATGACAATAGGTAAACCTATAGCCAAAAGTACCCCAAGCACATACATAGATGAGGACATGGAAGAGCTATCCATGACACAGAGGGAACCTCTTTGTCACCGCCTCTTGGAAAATCACTTCCTGATTTCATGATCCAAGCCTGTTCTTGAACAAGTGTTGTGACATCATTGGACTTGGAAAGGGATGTATCCTGGGTCTCATCTACGATAGCAGCAGGATCAGCGGTGACACTAAGCTTTTCTTCAGCTTCTCCAGCCTGCAAAATAAAAAAAGGCAATTATAGATATGGAGTTTACAATCCAAGAAGAGGCATTAACCCAATCTATACACAAGTGTTGCTGACAAACTTCTCACCTTAGCTACTACTACTTTTGCTTCATGGTTTTCTTCCCTGTAGCTCAAATCTCTAAAATTGCTGGGGTAAGATAAACGAAAACGGCCCTTCCGCGCTTTTCTTCGTGTACCCTGTGGCCCAAAGTTTTCGACCCGTCGTTGATCATGAGGTTGGTGAGTCCTTAATTTGATTTCAGGTCCAGAAATATCAGCATTGTTGACGGCATTGCTATTATTGCTTGATCCTTCAGGATCAAACTGGAGTGCAGGAAGGAAAAAAAAGTCAATTTTCCTAGTATGAGAAGTTGTCTAATAACACAACACATGGAACACAACAACAAAATGCAGAATAAATTGATATGCAAGCATCATTAAAATTAGCAAACTCATGGCATTTGAGTTGGAGACTAACAAAAGTCCAAAGTTAAATTGTGAACTTGCAAAATCATAAAGCCTTGCAGGTTTTTGGAGACTTCGGCATACCTGTGCCTGGGCTGCTTCAACAGCCAAATTCTTGGAACTGCCAGAATCTTCACAGGTCTGTTCATCTGAGGTAGCTAGGACTTGGAGACTTCGGCATACCTGTGTCTGGGCTGCTTCAACAGCCAAATTCTTGCTACTGCCAGAATCTTCACAGGTCTGTTCATCTGAGGTAGCTAGGACTCTAGATAAGTGCACAGCCATATACAGTTCGTTTGTTCCATAAGGAGACTGAACCGCATTGTGGTCTGGACCCACATCATTAGAGATAGGTAAATGCATGTCATTCGAACAAAGACTGTACCACGGCAAGTGCAAGGGGGAAAAGATTTTGCCAGGGGAATCTAGTGGTTCCAGATTTGGGTCAACAAGATGTCTCCACACTTCTTGATCAAATTCCAGCTGAAACAATCAAGGAAAAAAATAAGAAATTATTTGATTGTGATTTCACACTCTCCACAAGGGAGTTGATAAATTAAGCTTAAAAAAAAGGTTCTCACATCATCATTAGCAGCACATCTATCGTATAAATAAACTCTCAGAATTTTGAGCGAGCCAACTGTTGCTACTAGAAGGTAGCTTTTCAGTTAGGGCATTCATCCTAGGAGTCGCCAACTCTTATGGCATAAATGATATAATTGTGGCAGAAGAAGAAACATTCTTGTCAACTTCATTGCAGATCAAACCTTCAGTGCTGTCATCCTGCTTTCTGTCTAGCTTCTTGTCATGCTTTTTCATTAACTTAAACAGGAGAAATGATCCCTGCAGAAGGCGCAAACTTTTGGCAAAAATGAATTAAGTGAGCCAGTATTTGAATTCTAATACATAGATTAAGTCAGAATATCCTAAAAACAAACAGAGCTGATAATTTGAACCTAAATAATCAATAAACTGAAACATAGCACCAGGTTGATTAAGAAGAACACAGAACTGATATTATTGAATGCTAATCCATCAAAAAGAACCATATGTTATAATCCATTAAAAAAGACATCAATCAAACATGAAATGAATCAATTATGCCAGTGCCCTCCAATTATGAAAGGACCAAAGAAAGGCAAATCACATGCGTCTTAGGATGTCTAAAAAGGACCTCATCCCCAAATTAATTTGTTAACACAGAAATTTCTCCATGTTAAACTAAACCCAAATGTTCAAAAGCAACAGAGGCAAAAAATAGTCGGTCCATTTTCCACAGCATGTGCAAACTTACCCCACCATTCATTTCACTAAGAACCAAGAACTCACCATAGGTAAACAAACTCAAACATGATTTGAGCTAATGGGTTTTAATTACCCACTAGCCATGACATGACAAAATCACAAATCAAACAGAATTCAAAGAATTTAAAGACAGAGAAGGACATCAAAAGTTGAACCTGTCCCGGGTTAGAACCCCCAAGCCCCTCACTGGTTGCAGAGTACTCATGAATAACCCAGTCAGTCCTTTGCCCTTTAGGAGCACTCCCAGTATAGAAAGCCAAAGTCTTCATCGTGCCAATCACAGTTGTTCCATTAACAGATTTGATCGATCTATCCTTGCCCGTGGCCTTCCAATACCCAGCTCTAGTCGCTCTGTTCGATTGCTTCCCGTTGTTATACTTGGAATCTTTGGGACAGAAGAAGATCCACTTATCATCATTCGTTTCTATCAGCGACATAGCTGAAATTACACAAAGAAAATAGACCTAATAAGTGAGTAGTGATTTCTACAGAAGTTCCAGCCCCCCAAGTATGAGTAATCACCAGAGCAGGTAGTACTCATCTGGTACCAAATTGAACCTACATTTACCTCCACTACACATAAACACATACCCAAATTCTTTATATATATATATATATATATATTTATTTTAACAAATGCAAGTTGTTTTGAAACATAATTCCCTATCCCAAACGGTTTTAAACTTATTTCTGAACCCAGGTTGTTTGATGAAGTCATGTTGAACTTTCCATCAAAATTTTAAGTTTAAAACTGCTTGGATTTGAAAATTTTGATGTAAAAAAACTCTCCAAAATCAAGCATATGAACAATCCAAAAAGAGAAAGAAAAATCCAAAAATGTTTGGATGATTACCAGGCAAATCCCAGGGTTCAAATTTACAGAGATCAACCTCACGAATTTGAGTGACAACCTCCTGATTGCCAGTGATCTTGGAGCTTAAGAAGTGATTGATGAGTTCTGCGTCCGTCGGGCTAAATCGGTACCCTACCGGCAGAGCATTCAAGGGCAATACAGGCATCCCGAAAGACTAACAGAGAAAAATGACCAATATTTAGGGACAGAAAACTGAAAAACAGACTTATAATAACCGAGAGAGAGAGAGAGAGAGAGAGAGATATACAACTAGAATTACCATGTTTGGCTTCTGAGCAAATGCAGGCAGAGAGAGAGAGAGAGAGAGAGATTAAAAAAAAAAAAGAGGATAGGAATCAAAATGGAGATTCACATAAAATTCGCTTTGGTTGTTTCGAAGACAGACGGAGTATTTGAAGATGAAAGCATCAGTTGAGAGAGAGAGAGAGATGATGTTGTTAGTTGTTGGTGGTGGTTTGGGTGCGAAGGGACCAATGACACCCGCGTGTTAAATTTTGTGCTGAAATTTCGTTAATTGCCAATGAGAATTTTGAGTAATTATTCAATACAATACTCCGATTCGATTAACAGATTGAAACTGAACATATATATATATATATATATATTTTGGTTATATCATAAAGAAAAAAACAAACAAAGGACTAAGCCCCGTCATTAGATAATCCAATCATGTCCCTCACTAGCAAGCTTCTAATTTCAGTCAACCATTCATTTACTACCAACGTATCTTCAAGTTATGCTTCAAATCTTAACATATCTTCAAATTGTTCATTCACCACTGTACGAGCATGAAACAATCTTTTCGTGTAATTCTTTTAATTAAGTTTGCACTCCTTCAAACGTCGTCGTTTTGTCACCTGAAAATACAAACGTGAGTTAGCCGGCGGGTGTATGTCGGAAATCTCTCAGATGCCTAAGTCAGCGAATAGACAATAGACACAAAAGCTCTATGTATTCTAGGATGAAAATTATGATACCTGTTCATAGGCCTTGCTATGAACTTTTATAGATTTCGCGTGGTACAATCCTAGTAGGACTCTTTTTTTCCAATGTAGAGTCCTCCTAGGAATCACACGCCCTACTCATTACTAACCAAGTGAGATGGTTTTGTACAGTCCTAGTAGGACTCTACTCTCCTAAGCAGAGCCCTCCTAGGGGTCTCAAGCTCAAATGAAGAATGTCTATTATAACACTATACTTTCCGCCAACCAAGTAAGATGGTTATCTCCATTGTTTGGGCTGCCACGACCTAGCCGAGCTATATTACCTCGATCATACACTCAAGCAATAACGCGGATAGCATTTGGCTGAGCTATACCAAGCCCGGCATCCTCTCTCATTAATACCTTGGCTAACCACTAAACCCACTTATTTAGGTAGCTCGGTTCAAAGTATCTCTGCCCAGCTTTCTTACAACATGGGACCATGCTACGCGAAGCCCATACCTCGGTTCAGAATACATAGACCGAGCTAATTGCCATTACTCCAGACCGAGCTCACAGAAGCAAGGTCCAACTGAGAAGCCCTTTTCTCTACGGCCCACAGATCGGTCTATTACAATATCTGGGCCTAGCTCGGCCCTAGTTCACATAAAATCTCCTTCTCAATTGCCCCTTAATTCCATCTGCAGCGCATGATTTGGGATTATTCTTCTCCGGCCGAGCTAAAACACCCAATCTGACTGAACTAAAACAAGTAATGCCACCGAGCTCATTCTCTACTGGACTACCCATTTTCTCGATTTTAGAAATGTCTTGTCAATTAGCTCGGCACGTCGTTCCGTCTCTCAAGTACATCTGAATCGTTATCCATTCCATTTAGACACGTGGCTTGCTCTCATTGGTCCAATACAACTGTCACAGCCGTCTTCGTACTTCGAGAATTTTGAACAGTCCCACCCATTTCCTGTACTTTATACAAAAAACCCTTATTTTTTAATCAACACTTCACTATTTATCTTCTCTTACTCACTCCTTGCGTGTTCTGCCCCTGCTTTTGCGTCCTTTTATGCACCAGTTCTTTATCGCAACATTGGCTCCATTGCTGAAGTTTTGCATATGCTTAGACTGGTAAGTTCATTCAAAACCTCCTTCTACTATTTCCTTTCCATTTATTTATGTACTCTCAATCTTTAAACTTTATTGTACGCGTGTTTTCACACATTTAGAGTGTTAAATAAATACCATAAACCCAAAACTTCATGCCAAAGCTCAAAAGCACACCTACTGTTTTTGTTTTTCTTTCTTCAAAAACATAACATTTAATCCAAAAATCACACTGCAACCGAACTAGATACTTGTTTAAGTGACTTTTAGGTTTGAACACGACCGAACTAGGAAACCGGCTATAACCCTGTCCACAGACCTTCAATCGAGCTAAGGATCTTGATTTGAACTTTCACTGCAACCGAACTGAGAGCTACCGTTACCCAAGTGTAACCAAGCTAGGTTTTTACTATTATGTAAGTTGACTATTTACTTAGCCCGATCTAGTTGTCTAGGCATAACACTTCTTATTTGCCCTTTGCAGACTTTACTAGGTTGGCCAGGCACACCTTTGCACCCTGCCCCTAGGTGGCTTTGCTCAACCGAGCTCACCACAGCCCTATCCGCGCCGAGCAAGGCTTCTTTGAACAATTTTGTCATAAGTTATCATGGGTAAATACTGGTTCCTGGTAGACTCACCTGGGGCCATAGCCGAATTTCGGAGGGACTATCAGATTCCGGACGACATTCATCTCTCCTTAGATGAACTAGAAACAACACCTTGGGGCAAACCGGGCTTCGTCCCGTTTACTGTGATATCCATTGTAGAAGCCGGTATTTGATTTCCCGTTCAGCCACTCCTTTGTGAATTCCTCAGGCAGACAAGGCTCTGCTCCACTCAACTCTCTACAAACTCATAGAGAATAATAAATGGCATCGCCGAGCTAAACCGTCGGCTTGGCCTCAACCTCGGTTTAGCTGAGCTATTTCATCAATATTCATTTGGCCAAAATGAAAACGGCTAGGTGTATTATTTAATAATAAGAAGACGCCGAGAGAAAATAATTAAAAATACACCGGATAAAGACGTGAATGACGACGACTTTTTCTGGGTTTCTGGCAATTTTGAAGACCAGAAAGCCCAGATATCGAGATACGGTATTAACTGGAATAAAGGAACAGCCGGTATGAATACCTCGGCTTAGTTTGTCTGTTTTTTGCTCTTGCTATTTTTAAGTTTTACACAACGCTAACCGTTGTCTTTCTCCTTATGCAGATTTGAACCAGCTAAAGTCACAATACCAATACCCCAACTTAGACGCTTTCCGCGTCGCGCTTCGCTACCATGATCGAGGTTGGGCCGAGCTACTTAACTTCGAACCGACCTACAGATATAGCGGAAGAAGGAAGACCAGGGTGACAGACTTTCTCCTTGAGCCATCACCTAAACCAGATCCCACACTTCCTTAAATCAAGTTGATCCCGCTGACAGAGGAACAAGAAATGGCTAAGAAAAGAACCGTGCGAGCACTCATCACCGAGCAAACCACTGGTAAAGCTCAAGCCGGGCTAAAGCCAGCTGGCCAGCCACGTGATGCCATGGTGGGCCTTCCAACTGCAAGGCCCTCTACATCTCAGCCGAGCAAACGTGTACGAATTGCTTCAGCCGAGCCGCAACGCCTGGTTGATGAGGACATCGTGCTTTCAGATACCTCAATGCCGAGCCCCGAGCCCGTGCATTCGAATCGAGCTAGCCCTTCGGAGTGGGCTCCGAAAATAACTTACAAGAACCGCGCTATCTCGGTGTAGACACCCCATTTTTGACCGACCTTAAGACTCAGACATCGCCGATTGAGCGCTCGGTGATATTGCATTTTGTGCTCGTTCAGAAGTTTCAGAGTCTTGGCTGCGAGCCTTGCCTTCGAACTTCCGGACTCTTTCATGCTTTGCCTCAGTTTGCGAACCAGGCTCTGCTTTCTCTGTTCTCTTCCCGAAGAGAGGGAGAGGTCCCGTGGATCATCTCTCAGTGGCCATAGGCTACATTTCATGGTCGTAGGCCATTTTGCTTATTTGGAGTCCGGTTTCCGATTTTTCGGAATCGTTGGCCGTGTGTCTCGGTTCGGGACCGCTTAACCACCTCCGTTTGCTCCGGTTTTTGGCATGCATCTTATTTACTCCCTTTTGAGGGACACTGTGGTCCGAGAGACCAACTTCGTGGTCGAACACCACTCCCGGTGCCTACCAGCCGGTTTTCGGGGCCTCGGGCTGCGCGTTTCGGCCCCCGAACCTTCGTTTTGCATTGGTTTTGGTTCATTTTTGGCGGGGACCTCTATTTCATTGGTAAGAAGGTCGTAGAAGGGTGGGAGGCTAGTAATTGTTCTGTCAGCAAACTTTATCCCTTCATCGCCCTCCGTCGCCCGATTTTCCTCACTTCAAAGCCAATGTTGACCATCCTTGGGCCATTTTCTTGCACCCTAAACCCCATATTTGTGATGTACACATCTGGGAGGCCACCAATATTTGGTGGCCGGCCAGTAATTGTTGTTGAACCTTTTGAACCCCTTTGAAAAGTGGGTTATTCTCTATCCTGGTTCACTATTTCCAGTGTTTAACCATAGGGTTGTGTTGTGCACACATCAGAGGCTCTCCTTTTGGTATGGCCGGCCACTAATTCTCATTGAACCTTTTGACCCTTGGCCGGCCGGCCATGGGAAGTAGCCGGCCGGCCACCTGCAACCTAGATAGCTGGCCGGTCATGATCCTTGCACCCTGTTCCTTACAGCTGTATATCTCTTTTCCCCCCAGGTGGTGTATCCGGGGGGGTGCATTTTTTTGGGGAAACTTGATTGTTTTCCCTCCATTTTCCCCCCTCTTTCCCCCTTCTCTTGCCTATATAACCAGCCTCCAGCTCTCGTTTTAAGGGTTGGAAAAATTACCTAAGAGCTTGGCATACATACACCTTCCTCTCCCTCTCTTCCAAGACCAAAATCCTTCAAACCTTACATCATTTTACACTACTCCTCATAGCACCACATCCCCATCTTCCATTCCAGCAGCTTAAAGCTGATTTCCAGAGCTAAGGAGCCATCAAACTCAAGCCAAGAGTTGTCAAGGACTTGGTCTTCAAGGGTGAGCCACTTTTTTCCTCTTTTTGAACTTATTTTGTATGCTTTCTAAGTCATTCTTGCTTGCTATTTTGGGCTCTGACCCTAACTGGAACTAGGCTTATTTTGAGCTATTTTTCATG